TCAATAACATTGGACTAAGATTTTGCTGTTTTCTCCGTGTTAAGCCACATACACAAGAAGCATGTTTAAATGTAGGGAGTCTGGTAGTTTCTGGTCTGTGTTTTGCAGTTATTAAATAGTTCTGAAAGGTACATCAATATATACTGATACGACAGAAGCAGATCCTAATAGGATCATATTTATTTTAAGTATATCACAAAATCACAGAATCACAGAATGGCCAGGGTTGGAAGAGACCTCAAGGATCATGAATCTCCAACACCCCTGCCATATGCAGGGCCACCAACCTCCACATTCAATACCAGACCAGGCTGCCCAGGGCCCCATCCAACCTGGCCTTGAACACCTCCAGGGACGGGGCATCCACAACCTCTCTGGGCAGCCTGTTCCAGCACCTCACCACTCTCTCTGTAAAGAACTTCCCTCTGACATCCAACCTAAATCTCCCCTCCCTCAACTTAAAACCATTTCCCCTTGTCCTGCAGTTAACAACCCTTTCAAAGAGTTGATTCCCCTCCTGTTTGTAGGCTCCCTTTAGATACTGAAAGGCTGCAATGAGGTCACCCCACAGCCTTCTTTTCTCCAGGCTGAACAAGCCCAGCTCCCTCAGCCTGTCTTCATAGCAGAGGTGCTCCAGTCCCCTGATCATCTCTGTGGCTCTCCTCTGGACCCTCTCCAACAGCTCCTTGTCTTTTTTGTACTGGGGGCTCCAGACTTGGACACAGTACTCCAGATGGGGCCTCACAACAGCAGAGTAGGGGGGACAATCACCTCCCTGTCCCTGCTGGCCACCCCTTTTTTGGTGGAGCCCAGGATACCATTTGCCTTCTGAGCCGCAAGGCCATATATATTTTAGCCTATTCAGATTTTCATCTCAAAACATCTTCTCTTGAAGAGTGTATTATATCTTGACCTTTGTAGCAGTTATTCAGTAAACACAACTTTGAAGGTGGAGGTAAGTATTGAAAAGTAAATTAAACTTCAAGAACATCTTCCCAACAGGTGCAGAAACTATTTAAGGTTCTTCTTGAAAATTTCTAGAATGTGTACATATGTTGCCTCCTGATCTCTGTTTTCCTTTGCCTGACATTTTACTTAAAAGGGAGCTGTGGGTGTTCAGCATTCCAGGAAAGAGCAACTGACAGGGTCTTGACTTTTGTGGCAAGAAAACAAAATTGAAGGAACTATCTCAAAACATTTGAAAGCCATTATAGTATCAATCTGTAGAAAACAAACATATTTTACAGAATGTGTTTATTTCAGTGCTATGCATACATTTCTAATGACCTTAATAATCTCTCAGTGATTTCTTAGGAGCTATTTTTTAATCAAGCTACTCAATTGTACAAATCTGACACAGTAAAGCAAACAAAATAGAAAAGGTATTAAAGGATATAATTAGCTTGAAACTTAACGTTTAATATTTTCCAGATAGGATGAATCTAAAGACATACTTGAGGCCCTTCTTGAAGAAGGACTTACATCACACAGTGCAATCATGTAATCATGGTTAAATGGCAGAAATATGCAAAAAGAGACAGACAAATTTCTACATTATTTAATTTAGAATCTCTGAGCTTTTCATCATATGTTAGAATTTCAGTGAGTTCCAATAACTGAATTCGAATTCACTCAGTTCTTCAGAATTCCATGAGATCAATTTCTTAGCACATAATTGCATCTCTTTATTTTCACATTCATCAGGTCATAAGTTACTCATGCCCTTAAGAAACTAAAAAAGAAACTAATGCACTGAAAGGAGGAAGAAATGCTACATTTCTCATCATCACCTCCAATGTTATAAAACTTCACTGCAAACTGAAAGGAAGACAAAAGGAAGATACTGTGGAGCAAGTATAGTTGTGCCCAATGAGAAGAGTTGAGCAGGGCCAGTGATGATCCCCTTCTAAAGCAAGTGATAGAATCACAAAACAACTGTATAAAAGATGATGACCAACTGCTGTGAACTGTTTTGGAAAAAGAAAAGAGCAAGCAAATTTGCCTTGTCAAATGAGACAGCTCAGTGACTGGGGTGGAGAAACCAAAAGAAAACATGCATCTAACTCTAAGATGCAGGAAATTAAAACTTCTAGTTGCAAGCTTAGCTGTTGTCTGCAGAAAAACGTCCAGCATAATACAATCAGATGGGTGAATTCCACAGTGATTTGAATCTTTTGTAGTGGCCCTAACCCAGTAGCCTCCTTTCAAACATAAGTCTTTCACATAGATTTTAGATTATGCATCATTACAAGAACAGCAAAAAAAGCCAAACCTTTTAATGTTACAAATGACTGCTAGGAAAAAAAAAAGGACAGTGAAATGTTTTGTAATTCATGACTCATGATAAAGCAGATCTGATGAATGTAACAGTGAATGGAGAGTGAATGAGGACATTTGTGGATAGACTTTGGTTGGCCACGTAAAACAAAAGACAACATGTTCCCAAACGCAAGAACTCACTGGAGACCATCCAAGATGGGCAAAACTACTGCCATCAAATGAATGAAATGAGTCAGGCACAGCTGGTGGAAGTACACAGAAAGATTCTTGAGGATGATTTTTAATTATATTATCATGGTCACAAGAGAGAAGCCCAACTCATGTCCTGATGCAAATTGATTACCCTCCTCAAAGTGTCCCTAGGAGAGCCTCCAAACCGAGGTAATGTTTCCAAAAGACAGTTTGGCTTCTAGTCACAGTGGGTTTGTGATGTCCCGTTCTCACAGTGCAAAAGCCAACCCACTCAGGTGTGAAGCATTTGATGTATGGAAAAATTAACCAGCATCTAGAGACAGAACTTGGCACAAGATGAAAAAACTGGCAGATGAGACAATAGACTGGGCAAAATTTATAGGAGTTCCACTCCAGTTTTGTTGAAGGTAATTCTTTTTTTGCCATCCATTCTACATAGCCTTCCTTTTATTTTCATTTCAGGCTGTAAATCCACATAAGTAAGAAAGCCAGGCTACTGTGTGCCATGAAGCCAATCTGCAGGGAAGCAGGAAGAAAATTTATCTTTTTTTTCTCTAAAATCTCTTTGTTTTAAAACATACTTCTAAAGATGACATTAAAATCAGGGTGATTTTTTTTGTCATTGTGGGTTTTTTTGTTTTTTGGGGTTTTTTTGTTTGTTTTGTTTTTTAATGAAATGTAAATACTTTGAGTCAGAATATCTGAGCCCATATGAATTACAGAGTAAATGCAAAGTCTCAGGGTAATCAATCAGATGGAAAATACTATTTTTAATAAAGTACAAAGCCAAAATCAGTGTCTTGAGCACTGGAGAATTGTTGATGGAGTCCTGCATCTATTTCAAGGACTTGTGTTTAGAAAAAGAATGGATCCAATATTTTGTTTAAAACAAACAAAGCAAAGCAACAACGAAAGTATTCACAGCTTTTTACCCAAAGACACATCCTCTTAGCTCCTTCTGAAGATCAGTCTTTTCTGACTTTCTTCTGCTTTCTTCCTTAAAAGTTCTACTGCTTTGTTGGTTTGTTTGTTTTCTGCACACAGCTCCCACAGGAAAAGAAAACAAAATTATGTCTCATCCCAAACTTTCTTACTCATTTCCTGCATGTGGCCAGAGTTTTGGGAAAGTCTTCCTACATTATATCTACTTTTCTATATATGAAGGTAATTATATTTTTCTTCACTGACTAGTTAGTGGATATGTCACAGCTCAGAATTACTCAAAATTTCACATAACTCCCAGAATAATGTGACACATTTAGAAGAAAGTATCATTTCCTCATTGCAAAGCTTATGTAGACCAAGGCACTCAGTGATGATCCATTCATTTTTCCAAATGCCCATGAACATCTACACTGTAAAACAGCTTGATTTGTATCCATATATTTTCCTCCTCCAACCGTGTGATAACCTGCTCTAGTAAGTAACATTTTTAGCATCATTGTTAGTGCTTCAGTAGCATGGCTTTTCACACTCCATTGTAGAAAAAGCTAGTGTTCTTTTACAAAGGAACAATAACAACTCCAAACTTAATTTGCTCAGGTCCTGCTATCACAGAGAGTTGTGTAGTACTGTATTGATCCAGCAGTAGCAGTTATTACAGCATCTGTTCCTGTATGTGTGGTAGATGTTCATCTACATGCACGTCATCAACTTTTATTAGGTGGGAAATATGGGAATATATTTATGTGTACCTATATATATAGAGAGGATGTACAGTATTTTGAAGTGCCTTACTTGTCACTGGGGATATACATATGCCACTGTCACTAGACTTCTTCTAATTTAAGAATGCCAAGACATAGATCCAACATGGAGCAGTAGCATACAGTAACAAATATACATGTGGCAGACAGAAGAGGGGGGAGAGATAGGAGGACATACCTCTATGAGGCTCTTATATAAACTGCATGCTGAGATAGGCTCAAATACAGGAAATAAGAACTAAATATGTTTCTTTTCTTGAACTTCACAGTCATGAACAGTGAAACAGGTGATGTTCTAAAAGGGCAAAATAATGCCAGACTCTATTTTGGTATGAATTGTCATTAGACTGATCATGTGCTTGCAACAATCTGGAGAAACTCACTCAAAATGTATACATTTTCATTGACATTATGAAAATTTTCTTTTGCTTCTTCCTGTCCTCCTGATTATGACACATAGATCTGTGGTCTGAACTTCATCCAAATCACAGAACATTTTCCTGAATCTTTTATTTCTTTCTGCCCGCACCACTATTCCCTTGTGTCACTGGCTGGTGCAGAATGTTCTATCAAATGTATGTGCATTTCTTCCATAGAATTAAAGAAAGAAAATTCTTATGTTCTCCACCTTGTTAAAGGTAGACACTGGTATTTTTTATTTCTTTGGTGTGCATTTATTTCATCCCTTTACAGCAGCCTTCTCAGACATCAACCTACAAAGAAGTGTGGTAAAAACAATTCACTTAAAAGAGGCTGGGATCTACTGCATTGGCAGTGGGAGCAAGGGGGTATGTGGAGTGGCATCAGGACAATGAGTCCACGTCTTTTATACTAGTTTCATTTATTTCAACTATTTCATGTACAGGATGATTCATAAAGAGTTAAATAACCTGGAGAACCCCGATCAGATTAGGCAGAAATTTTCAAGGTCTTTAATCAGAAACTACAGAGCCAAAAACTGCAAATGAATGATTGAGAAAGTTGACAGCTACAGGACCAGCTGTAGGGAGTCTGCAACCATTTCAGAAACCACCTTGAATTAACCTGTAGGAAAATCCTGAGATTTGACAGCCAGAAGCAAAGACATTTTAGTGAAAACAAACAGGGTATTGAACCAGCATCTGGGGCTTGTGAATAATAATGCTTTCTCTTGCCCATGCTCCGTATCCTGGACAATGTCATGAAATACAGTTATTGTGCTACCAACAGAAAGTGCCAAGAGGCCCTGAAGGGAGTCTTTCACATGATACTGCCACTGGGATTTATAAGTCAACCCTTCATCCCACCTGCACAAGCAAATCCAAATTCCAGGTACACATAAAGCCAATTTTAAGGAGCTTGTTCCTGACAGGTAAAATCCAAAGAAGATTCCAAGAGAAGCATGAAGAAAAGTTTTTACTGAACAAAACTTCCTTTCTTTCAAATTTTGACTTTGAATACACTGTTTTAACCACCCATTCTACTCCTTCCTCTCCTAACTCTAGATGGGAATCTATAGCAAGCTTCAACAAAAGACAATAAAATTACAGCATGCATAAAGTTGGAATGATAGTTGTTTAAAATTCTACACACACTTACAACAATACATAACAAACATATTTTTGGTAATAAATTACACTTCATTACTGACAACTGTCCTAACTTCAGTAAAATATCATAGATATCTTCATAATTGCATTCATACAAAGATCTCAGCGTTAAGCATTTCACAGAATCACAGAACGTCCAGGGTTGGAAGAGACCTGATGGAGATACCATTTGCCTTCCAAGCAGCAAGGGCATACTGCTGGCTCATGTTAAGCTTTTCATCTATCAAGACCCCCAGGTTCTTCTCTGCAGGCCTGCTCTCAAGGACCGCTCCTTCCAGTCTGTATGGATGCCTGGGATTCCTCCAGCCCAAGTGCAAAACTCTGCACTTTGCCATGTTGAACCTCACCCAGGCCCACCTTCCTAGCCTCTCGAGGTCCCTCTGAATGGCATCCCTTCCTTCCACCATGTCAACCGCACCACTCAGCTTGGTGTTGTCAGCAAACTTACTGAGGGTGCACTCGATTCCATCATCGATGTTATTGATAAAGATGTTAAAGAGCACCGGTCCCAACACAGACCCCTGGGGGACGCTGCTCATTACCAGCCTCCACCTGGACATAGAGCCATTGATGACCACCCTCTGTCTGCGTCCTTTCAATCAATTTCTTATCCATCGAGTGACCCACCCATCAAATCCCCATTCCTCCAATTTGGAGATAAGGATGTGGTGGGGGACCATATCAAAGGCCTTGCTCAAGTCCAGGTAAATGACATCGGTCGCCTTCCCCTTGTCCACCAATGCTGTCACTCCATCATAGAAGGCCACCAGATTGGTTAAGCATGACCTTCCCCTGGTGAAGCTGTGCTGGCTGTGTAGGTGTGATCCTCATGTGATCAAGCATGTCATCCAGGATGATCTGTTCCATGATCTTCCCAGGCACAGAGGTGAGACTCACCAGCCTGTAGTTCCCCAGATCCTCCTTGCTCCCTGTCTTGTAAATGGGGGTGAAGTGACCCCTCCTCCAGTCATCCGGGACCTCAGCTGACAGCCACAACTTTTCTAATATGATGGAGACTTTTCAGATATGATGGAGGAACAGTGAAGTTCCTCCTTCACTGGACAGTGAAGCTGTTCAGCTGACGAAGTAGGTGTAAAGGTAAAGGTTTGTGTTGTTTTTTGTTTGTTCGTTTCTAATTTTAAAAACTTGCTTTCTTCCCTGAGAATCAGTTTCTTCTTCAGGTGGAAACTCCTGGTATTTGAAACCTCACTTTCAGAAATGTTGGAAGTGTACTGAGGTAAAATGAAATTGTAGCTCAATGAAGGTCCAAGTGTGCCAGTCTGTATAAATTAAAGCTGAGGATTGCTGAACCGTACAACCACTTTGCACTGCTAGGATGTGTGTTGCGTAGAGCTGTGTGGTCAGGACATGGAGTGAGGGAGAAGGCTGTAATGTTCCCCTTGTAATTTTTCACCTGAGCTGTTTTGATTTGAAGGTGTCCCATGCGCACATTTTGTTTTTTTTTTTTTTTTGTCAGACAACTACAGTTCCTTCAGACACCTGCAGAGCCTCAGAAGAGATATGGAGCATCTCAGAATCCCCATCTTCACCACACTTCCGCAACAAGGATACACCAGGATGGGCCAAACAAGGTCATGCAGCCCCACAGAGCTGAGGAATTATGTGTCTGGAAACTTGGGCTTGTACTGGGTTTATGTTCTCCGAACTCCTGCTGTGTGAACACCAGAGTGATCTTTAAGGGCTGCTTCATGGGTATTGTGTTGTCATGGCTGGAGCCAAAGTATGCAGCACTCATCTGTTTGAAGAAACAACAGGGGAGAAATCTCTAGTAGATGAAGACCTTGAGAGAGTTTCTTTTAAGTCTTCCTAGGGTTTTTAGAATGGTGAAATCAAGCTTAATTGGAATTTAAAGACATCTGGTAGGAAAGACCATTGACACTTGATAGTTAAAACTGAATCAAAAAATACAACAGTCACATGTAGAAAGTATTTTGAAATAGCATATTTACATATCTTTAAATGTTTTGTATAAAATCCCTCAGCTCTTTACATAATTATTTATAGAGTTCATAAATAATAGTATAATGCTAACTTAAAATATATGGCAAGTATTTTTCCATGAAGTTGGAGAAGAAAATGTACTTCTACATTTAAGTAAATTTCTAACCAAATGTTGCAAAATGTCCTTTAGTTTAATTGCATGCACAAACACAAAAGCAAAAAGACAAAACAACTTTTCATTATCTTTTTCATTACCATCATGGAAACTGTGAAAAAAAGATCAAATGGGAGTAAAGGGAGCCCAACTTCCTTTATTCCTACTCATTTATCTTCCTACATATAAACTATCTTCTAAACGACTATAAATAAATAACTTAGTAATAACACTTTTTTTTAAGGCAGTTAGACAATTTCTGGCAGGCAGTCTAAACACAGAAGACTATTCTGTAAACTGAGAATAGCCATACTAATAAAATGCAATCATCGTCTACAACTAATATCGGATGTCAACTGACAAAACTGACTTTCAAAAGGCCTGGACAATCACTACAATCCACATGCAGTACAGACAAAAAGGTAAATAAAAAAAGCATCTTCAGTGCGGATTATTTTATAAATTCTGTCAGTCCACTATGTATTGTATGTTTTTCACAGATTATGACTGATCCATGACAGTTCTGAGACAGGCCATTGCAGTTGCAGTATTATGGTTTTAAATGTAATATCGGACATCACCATGAGAAAAGAATACCCCCAGGAGTCGAGGACAGAAGGTAATACAGTGGCTCTTTCAGTGGTGTGGGAGACATAGCAATCTGCTGCATAGCTGAACAGTTCCCTTTTGTTCCCTGTTCAGCTATGGATCTGATTTCTCTGAATTGAGCTTATTACAATAAATATAGATGCACAACATGATTATTTATGGGAAGAAAACAGACAAAAGAGGTTGAGTTGCTGGTACCTAAAACCTAATTTTCTGAGTTTTTTCCCTTGAGGCCCTTTTCAATTGTTGCACCACTGTATTCTCATTGTTGCTCAATGATACAAGCCTAAGCTGTTCATCAATTTACTCACTCCCCCAATCTCTCTTTCTCTCACATGTGTGCTTCCTCTCTTTTCCCATGTTAACAGTTCCCCTGAAATACTATCACTTTGCTGGAGGATTGATGTAAGTCTCCAGCAATTAACATAATTACAAGCCTGATTATCTTCTAATTGCATTATGAGTATTTGGTTATTCACTACACAAATTAGAGAAAATTAAAGAGGAGCAAGATCCTGTGGTGTGGGCGGTACGCTTTCTGAACTGTTATGAGCATCTCAATGCTGTGAGATAACAAAGTAAAGACATTTTATATTCCTACTGGTTCATGGTTGTTCTTGCCACTGTATAATTTTTTTTGCTTCTTTCACCAGCGTTTCATGTCACCAAAAGATATGGTATTACTTCCTTTGTTCATGCAAGTTGACTGACAACATACAGTAAACCAAAGTAAATTCTTTATTTCTACATGGACAACAGTGTAAAAAAGATAAAAATCTGAACAACAGGCACCTAGAGGATAGGCACTGCTACTACTAAAAAAATCAACAATTCATAAACAATACAATTAAGGGTTGCTCTTCGTGGAGATAGAAGAGAATAACAGTAAAGAAGCATGAAAAATTATGAGTCCTTGCCTGTATCCTTCTATCATTTCTGAGGTTACCACACTATAACTTAAACAAACAGGAATAAGTTTAAACGCTATCTTAGTCTAAACTAGAGGGCAATTTTAAACCTAGATAACACTTTGATGAAGCATAATCAATGAGGGACAGGAGTTACTGTATCAGAAGCAACGCCAGCCATGAAAAGAAGTATTTGAAATGTACAGAATGGAAATTCATTATAAGAAAAAATATGTAACTGTATACCTTTGAAAACTTTATTTTTAAAACAAATATAAAGACTGCACAAAACACTGACAGAAAAAATTACAACAGGAAAAGGAGCAAAGACTTATAGAAAGGTTTGTAGCTTCTACTGTTGTTGAGGTTGAAGACCATAGCAAAGCTGAAAAAATGGTTATCTTGCACCTCAATCGGAGGTACGAACACCTCTATGACATACACTACACAGCCAGTGCTGTAAGAAGGTGCAGGTCTCCTCAAAACACATCTGAACTCCTCTGGGCAGTACTGCAAGCATCCATCACTGACTCCCACCCAAAGTAACTTTGGCTCTACCTGTGCTTTGGGATAACTCAGTATCTGTCACATGAGCCATATCCTGATAGTGGTTTCTCGCAGAATGGTGTTCATTTTGTGGATTTTTTTTTTAATAGAAATTAACCTGTCAACGCTCAATACTCATGTTCCTGAATTAATTTACAGGATACAGCAATGGTCTAATATCAGTGAATGTAACTGCTTCTGTACCAGGGGACCTCTCGTCTTCTCTTGGCCTCAAGGCCTCAAGGCCTCTAGTTACTGCTATTGGTGTCCAGACACGAAGGAATAAATTTATGGCATACACTTACTTCAAAGGGGTCAGTAAACTCCCAGCCTTTGGCTGGGAATTCTGTCTTCTGACCTAGGAACCAGTCTGAGTGGAATTCAAATGCGTGACCTAAGGTTTTACAGCTGTAAAGCACCCTCTGTAGAAAACCACTCCTTCTCACAGCATTTCACTGGTACAATCCTCTTCAGGTTTACAGCTTCTCAGGATGGGCAGGAAAGGGCTTCCCTTTTTCCACATCTAAGGAATAAAAACATGCCTTGTTCCATAGGGTTCTCAAGGTTCATGAATTCTGGGATTCAACTTCTCATAGACATTTATTGATAAAAGAAGTTGGTCATCCAAGACAAAACAAAACAAAAAATCTGAACTTAAGGGAGAAAAGGTGAGAGCAATCTTAATTATGTATCATTCTGGCATAATCGGGAAAAAATCCTTCATCAACAGTAGAATTTTCTTAGACACAAATGAACTGTGTATATATATTTTCATTTGTTGCTGCCAAGTGTGCACACACAAGTACCCAGGAAAACAACACCACAGCTTCAATTGATTCACATAGACAGAAAACAAAAAGAAAGAAACTGTATACCTGACACAAATCCTTAGCAGATACTTCAAAATTATTCATGTGAGTTTAAAATAGATTCAACACAAAATTGAATATTTGCAAGCAGGTAAAATTTCATATAACTTTTTTAACCTGTATAATTTTAAAAGCTCTAGGGAGTGGGCCAAAATGAACTTTAATGTACTACACATTGAATTTAATGAAAAGCTTTATTGAATCTACTGGCAATTTTCCCAGTTGCCAACAAGATTCCATTTTGCACACACTCATTCACTTCCTTCCCACTGCTTCTCAAAGCTGTCAGATATACATATTATAGAGGTTTTCAGAAGTTCAGGACTGTTAGTACAAGTGGATTTAGTAGTCTAATATCAAAGAATCCAAGGAAAAGAGTCCTCCTGGAATTCTGTCAGAGGAAGTAAACAACAGAACATTATCTTCATTGTTCTCTCTTTAAAAGGCCATCTCTAAGATTTTACATATACTTTGTTCTGCATTGATCTCTGAAATTTAAACTGAAGTCAGGACTTACAACTGAAAGTGAATTAGAGGCAAATAAACGTGTATTTTGTTTTGTATTGCTTTTGCACTATTTCCATCATACTTTTCAGGCAGGTAAGAATTAAGAGGACCTGAAGATGATCATATCAGCAGAAGACGCATACACTTGCTTTAAAAAAATCCTGAATTAAATAAGTAACCCAGCACTTAAACAAAATTTTCAGAACGCAGTGCCTGTATTTATTTTTGTAGAAATTTGGCTAGCAACTGCTAGGAGGCAATATTCCTGACAGGATAGTCCAGAGAGATCTCAGACTGATTTAAAAGAAAAAGCAATACATGACTTAGAAGGAAGGTGATAAAACCATACCACAGCTATCCTTGAATTTGAAGTGTTATCTTCTTTTTTGATGTGAACATTCTCCACCACAGTGAAAAGCAAACAAAATATTGTTTCCCTGCTTCATTACTTTAGTAAGAAGGATTGACGATATGCTTAGCTGGCAGGAAAAAATAATTTATTTCACTGTCACATTATTTGTTCACCTGCTGCAAGGTAAATAGAAGCTAAGTCACTTTTTATTTATTTAGCTTTTGCAAGACACCCATACTGACACAGCTAGCATTATCTATTATATACAACCTCTCTATTATACTGATTTCAGAAAACAAAATAATGCAAGATCTTCTCTCCTAATTGTTAATATTTGTAGAAAACATTACACCACTTCTTAGGCTTTTGAACGTAATTTCTTGAATTCTTTCACTCATCAATTTTTCAATTTAAAAGGTGTGTTGAAAATAACAATAATTTAACTTATTTCATGTTCAAAATGTACAAGGAAAATAAACATTCCATATGTAGAAGTTTTCAGCGTCTGGGTTTTGTCTGTCATCAAAAATCAATCACTATTATTAGAAGAATCTCTTTGTCATAACAGTACAAAAACTGCACTGATAAATATATTTGAAAATGCAGTTGCAAGCCAATTCCCATGTTAATTTCTCAGAGAAATTTCCCACTAAGGTGTGGCTGAAAGCAAAGAAAGTGAGTAGGGAATGTACAGAGATTACTGTGTATTAGTGTAAAGCACATCTCCTCCTGTGAAGTGAAGAATGGTATAAGCTCCACACTCAAAATGAGAGTATAAATTTGACTCAACAAAGCAGCCCGCCTGTAGGAGCTTGTTCCATTTTCATTTCATAGCACAAATAAAATGCTTTTTTTTAACTCTGTCTTTGCAAATAAGAGTCAAACATTCGAAGTAAAGTAAAATCTCGTATCAAGGGGACAAGAAAGAATTTATGTTTCAGGAGATTGCTTGATAGCTAAATGAAATGCAAAGTAAAAGAGTATTATGAAAAGCAGATATAAGGCCACAGAAGTGAGTGCAGTATGGGGCTTGTTTGTTGATTTTTTTTTTTCCTACTGTCTTCAGGAGATGCAGGGCTGAGCTCTTCAGTGTCACTTTGGTAAATAAGCAATTGGCTCAAATACTCGGCCTCTGCGTGGGTGAACCTCCTGTCAGCTTGATCCCTGCATGCAGATGGCTTTAGTGGTGTGTGCTTTTCCAGAAGTCTACAACAAGAGTTAAACTCACACCTTTCTTCACCCAAACAAGAAATTGTCACCAAATCCACAGATTAAAAAAAAAAAAGGGCAACATTTCTGTCAGGTAAATTCTGTTCTATATCTACTGCTTCACATACAGTAGATAAAGAGATAGCTTAGTGCTGCAGTGTTTACCTATTGAAATATTACCATTCCAATGATACTTTCATTTCTTGGAAGTTTTTACAGAATCACAGAATCACAGAATTGCAGGGCTGGAACAGACCTCAAGAGATCATTGAGTGCAACCTCCCTGCTACAGCAGGTACCCTACAATATGTTGCATAGGTAGGCATCCAGACAGGTCCTGATTATCTTTTATCCTTTTTTCTACTTTGGTCAGAATTCTCTTTCTGATGATGATTTCTGGAATATTCAAACATCTTTTTTTCCTCTTGAGGAATAGGGACCCCCTATTGGGTCCCTGTGCTAGAGCTGGACTGTAGCTCCATCCCCCAAATAATCACTTATGTGTATGTGTAAACAGACTGGAGCATGTTCAGTGAGGGAAACTGAAACTACTGTCAAGAGGCAGGGCATTCACCTCAGTTGAAAACTGAGGTTCAAGCCATCATGTAAAGTAGGCATGGGAACAGACTGACCTTTGTGCTGTCTTCCTTTACATACATTACTGGCCAGGTGGGTCTTCTAAGCTTTATTCACTTTTAAACAGAAAAGCCTTCTTGAAACTGAAAAGGTTTTGTTGAAATTGGCACATTTCTGAGAAAGGAAAAAAAATAAATCTGATTTCAACCTATCAGCATTTTCATCAGGAGATTCTGACATAGTTCTTATGGTAAAAAGATAATTCAACATTTTTTGTTATGATTCAGTAGCTCTATATTTATTTAGAGTACATTGCGTTTCTGTTTTAATCTCAGAAGATTTAACAGCAATATATGGAACACTGCAGGAAGACTTTATGTATATATTTGATATATTAACCTGATGCGTTGCATGTTTATGGAACACCAGTGAAAAAGTATAAAAGACTGTAACACTCGATTCTCAGTGACATTATGCTAATACATCATAGTTTTATGTTTTCTGAACACTTTTCCTTTCCACTGAAACCAAGCATTTTTTCAAGACTTATTAGTGAATATCAGATACTTAATTCTCCTCACAATTCTGGGATTATAAAAACACTATATGTTATAATGAAAACTCCACATCATACTAGGCCACATACTTGTACACTGTGTAAAGATTTCAGCATCCTCAGCTTCTACCAGTCACATTCACTTGAATGCTGGCCTCATCATTACTTAGCAGGACCTGACCAGGAGCTGTAACTTTGGTCTCCACTTTCAAGGTACGCCAAAAATGTAGAGAGCTGTCTCCAAAGCTAGATAAGTATATAATCTTGTTCTTAAGTAGATTATATTATAGTTCTGGACTTGCTGCACTCGGCTCAGTAGAGGACAAAAGATAAATCAAAGAGCTAGACTAATATATTCTGGCAGGAGGTCCTTGCATGAGACACCGGGGACTTTCAGTGAGAATTCAATGTTTTCCTCACACTTATGGCTTTTTTCCTTGTCAGCAGCTGAGGATCTGGCTAGTGGTCTCCAGGGCAGTTCACTAAGTGCTCCTGGAGAACATTTACACTGAACTTCCAATGAGCTAATAACAACTGGGAAATAATATCTGAGCACACAGTTTAACTCCGGATTGAAGCAGATGATAGTCACCTGCTGTTGTGTCATAAATTTTACTATATTCAGATGTCCTCTCCAGTAATCTGAGAAGTCAACTTTAGAGCAAGTAATACTAAACAGAAATTTATTTCCTCATTTCAAGGCATACTGCTGTTACCAAGTAATTTCCTATAGACTCAACTATGAATTTTGCATTAATCTAAATTCTAAACATCTTCAATCATCCTATTTTCCTTGAATTGATCACCTGGTTGACCTGTAAGTGAAATTCTTGGCAAAACCTATTGCCCCTTTAAAATTGATCTTGAAATTTATAAATGATTTTAACGGACATCAACAACATTCTTTTGTAAATTTGAATTTTCTGCCTTTTGTCTTCATGCTCTTTACAGTCTCTGCTGATTTTTGCCACCATAGCTTATGATGTTTAGAGCTGATAAAACTCTGGAGAAAAGGCTTACGTAATTATGACTGATTCCTTACAATTTGGTAAAGAAAATACACACCTTACTTATTTTTTAAATTTGGAATTTCTGTTCAACCACTTCAATGGACAATAATTTTTTTTTCTGTTACAGGACTGAACTTCAAGATTTTGAAAGAGATTAGATGAATTCATGAGGCTGAGACCTACCAGAAGTAGCTACTGAAGTATGTGGGCACACCAAATGAAAGACCACAATGTACTTGCACTCTCTGCTGTAATTTATTCCTAGCACACTTCATGCATCCTTTTAAGAGATAAGAAGAAGTGTGACCCAATACAGTAATTCTTATGAACTATATTTAATCCCCCGAAATTTCTTTTCAGAATTTTGAAATTACCCAGCATACTTTCTGTCTTACTAATTAGGCCAATATTTTTAAACAGCATCGGTTTGCTTCATTTTCAACATTACATGTGGATACTCATTTGCAGTACATATAGCTGACTGTTCCCTATCATTTCTTTCAAGCTACCTCGATAAAAGGAGGTACTGATATTTGATAACCACAGAATGTGATTTTAGAGACTATCTTTGAGATACAGATCAGCAGTTTTCACATATGCTACAATTACAGAGAAAAATACTGTCTGAAATCCATTTGTGAGAATACAGCCCTACAGCGACTATGGACCACAAAAATATAACGCTACACAGAAACATGTATCATGAGTCCACCATGCCCCCACTCTAATACCACATTCTTCTAGCATGAGTAGAACTTTAAGGGTTTCACACTTGTTGAAAACAGCCAGCAACAGTGATTTTCATGCTACTTTTTGTTTTGTTTTGTTTTGTTTGGTTTGTTTTTTTTTGTTCCTCTAGATTTAAGGCAACTTTGAAACTTTGAAACTGTGTTGTTGCTACGTTGCTTCTAGGCTCTGTAAGCCTAAAGAAAAGGGATAATTTCATTGAAAAAATAAATCAATAAATAGAAAGATGAAATGTACCCTTCCACTCCATATTCACTTATTCATGCATCTCTTCTGCTTGTCTTGCGCCTTCACATCAATCCAGCATTAGTCTCACTAAATTCACTGGAGAAGAAATTATACTCAGACGTCTTTAAAGCATTTCCTTTCTCTTATCTTCTCCCAAAATCTGGCCTGTAATTAACCTGTTTGTCATGAGTCCATTATTTTAAAAATCTGTACGTTTGCTTCACTTATCACATTAATAGGACTAAAAGTAAGCATATTCATAGTTCATATAATATTATTTCTATTATTTTACCATTCCTTCTGATCTTTTTTTAACTTGTCTGTTTAACTACCATAATGAAATATGTGAACTTAGAGACTAAGAATGAGGCATTATGACATGGCATAGTCATTTATTTGTCTAGATGAACAAGCATTGAAGGGTATCTTGTGTTTCACCCATTTCCTTTGAAACATTAATGTGTTTTTCTTTATTTTAGCATAAGACCTTAAACTCCTTAAATGTTTGCTAGTCCATTACATTTGGAAACATTGTCTAAGTAGTGTATTAAATTGTATATTTATTTTTCACATACATTGATGAAGGTAAAAACTGAAAGCTGAACTTAACTCAACAGCTAAGTTTATCAGTAGAGTTTCCATCCTAAATACCAAAAATACCATGTTAAAAATAGAAATATGGATGTGTGTTGAAGACATGTATTATATATGTAGTATTTTATTATTAACCTTGCTTGACATCCACTACACTCTATAGGAAAGCTGTTTGGGACTCTACTTCATTGATTTTAATGGAAACCAAAGGCCTGTTCTATAAAGTACATACAGAAGGCCATATACCATAATGCAAGTAATTTGGCATACATCCATAAGTCTTGAAAGGAGAGGCACTTAGAAGTGTGAATGTGAATTGCTTTGCAATCTGCAGTGTGGTAATATAGCTGTCAACCATATTTCATGTTGTGCAGGACTAAGGATAGAAAGCATCTCTGGAAAGACATGGTTTTTAACTTGAAAAAACTGAACAAGTGATATCTAAATATCTTTTTTTTTTTTTTTTTTTTCCTTTTATCAGAGTCTAAGAAGTCATATTAAGAAGTGCAATAGAGAACATTTCTTTTCATGGAATAGGGGAATTTTACCCAAATAAAATATGGATTAAAACAATTTCTTCTACATAGTTTCCATGCAAAATACAGATAGAAGAAGGGAGAAAGAAGAAAGATATTAGGAGGGAACAAGGTGTGGGTGAGGAAGAGAGAGATAGGGAGGGAGAGAGACAGGATTCCTGTGCTCACATTCAGCCAGAAATGTGAAAGTTGGTGGTTTTTGTTTGGACCTTGCATGGTTTCAATTCCTCCTGAATTTGCACCCTTAAGTTTTACTTTAAATTATGGGGTGAATAAAATGACACTCAAAACAATACCCATCACGTTACCAAGATACTCCTTTCTTCAGTATGAAATCATTAAAGACCACGAAGTCTTGGCAGCACTTCTACCTGAACTTATTTGTATTCTAATATTCACTGGCTATTCACCTTTGCTGAAAAGTTTACAAACTTTGGCAAACTTCATCTGTGTTCTGGCTTTGTAGCAGATCATGAAAACATGAAGTTACTAATTGATTCTGCTTTCATTATGAAAGCTCCTCCGCTACTTATAGCTGGCCACACAAAACAGACAGTAATGGCTGAATTCATGCACTGGAGTCATCTGGGATCAACACAAGATGAATTTGACTTCTGCAGCAGAAAAACATGATTTATATCAAACTCTTACTTTCTTGCTCAATTTGGTATCTCACTTTTAAGTACTCTTTGATCTGCTGCATGTTCTGAGTAAACTATCAGATTTCCCTCTGCTGCAGTTTCTTCCTATTCTGTGATACCAGGATAATGTTTACTCAGCTTGGTAGGGGTGCTTACCCAATTTCAGATGAATGACTAAGAACCAATTATTATCATTATGTTTTAACAACTGCAGAAGCCACATAGAGAGAATCTAGCATTCACAAAACAGGCATTTAAAATTGTTCAGGCTTTAAGCATTCTGGTTCTGGGGCAGGGGAGGATCCAAGTTATAAACTTAGTAACACTGCATTCAATGCAGTGTTGCTTCACAAACTGAATTAATCACCTCTTAAAAAACATTAACTCTTAGAAATATGACTTAGAATTTAATAATCAGTTAAAATTGGTCCTATTGGAAATGCAATCCAAAAACTTTTCCTCAAGAAACTGTTAAAACATCCCTGCATGTTCAGCGTGCTGTAGCCTCTATACACATGGTAAGTTTCACTTTAGATAAGTATCTTAATGCTTTGAAGAAAACAACCAGAATTAAACTAAACTAAAATTTTAAAAGTTTAAAACTGTTAGGAAGAAAACAACTGTGTTTGATATCAGATAAAACTACGGTCAGCGTCTTATTCACTGGCTTTTTCTCAGGCAAAAGACATGTTTTCCCCAGGGGTCACCGGGTCCAGGCAAGCTGCATTCTTTCTGCCAGGCACTTTGTAATGTGCAATGAACAGTGTCATTTATTTTCATTTCCTCATACTTAATTGCATGCTTCTTGCTTCCAATAATAAGCCAGAAGGCAGGTGGTAGAAGCAGTAAACTAAACTACTAC